ATGCAAAATGACAGCAAAAAGAAGGATAGACATTAGCAGAATTCTCAAGGGGTCCAAACAAGTATCCACAATAAATCCCATACCGTATGGCCTCTAAATGAGAAAAGTCCTCAACACACAAAGTCATAGAAGTTGAAGGAAGAGAATAAGAGCTTAGATGAGAACTGAAAGATAAGAATTCGGTTTTTGGTTTCACTATTAGAGACGGATCAAGGAGAATACTAGGCAGCAGCACAAGCGGCAACACCGGCGTTGCTATGGTGGAGAGAAAACTGGGAAAAGAAGAGAGTTTCAAAAACAGATCTAGAAAAGAAAAGCAAGTATGGTAATATGATGTTAGAATCATTTTATACTTATGAAAAAAATAATGGTTGAATGGAAAAAAAATCATGGTGGAATATTGGAATGGTCGAGAATGGAGAGGGAAAATGGGACTAGTGATTAGATTGATTTTGGAGGGGTAAAGGATCTGCGGATCTGGAGTAGCGGCAAGCTTAAAAATTGAGTTGAGGGGTGAGGCGTACAGCAGAGAAGGGCTAGAAGGCCGTGTAGAAAGGGCGGGCACCTTTAGGGTTTGCCGGTTTGGAATGGCTGAGAAGTGAGAATGGAGAGGGAAAAGAAAATGTCAAAATAGGAAATTAGATCTTTAGCCTTAGCTAGGTGATAGGTCTAATAGTGATTAGACTGAACTGATTTTGGAGGGGGATGAGGGAAAGGATCTGATCTGGAGTGCCGAGTGGAATGGACAATGGAGGGAAGGGAAGCTTAAAATTGAGTTGAGAGGGGCGAAGGCGTGGAGAGGATGGCAGAAAGGGCGGGCGGCATTAGGGTTTCTGCTACAGCCGCTTGCTCCTTTTGTTCTTTTAACTTTTTAAGTTTTGCGTTTTGGCTTTTAGGTCTTTTGGCTTGGGCCTCCAATTTGGTTTTCAAAAGGCCCATTTTGGTTTTTGATTTTTGAAAGGTTCAACCGGAATCGAACCAAAGTTCATTCGGGTAATGCCAAACCTGATCTTTGAAACTCGAAAAGTAATAACACCGAACCGAATTCATTTTTTCGGGTCGATTTTCAGGTAATTATTCGGTTGCCCAACCGAACGCCCAGGCCTACTTTTGTCAAAAAAAAATTACATAGTTTAATTACATATATGGTATATTTATTGTTGACTCTTGCCATGTCAGTGCCACATATCATTTATAAAAACAAAGCACAGAATCACTAGTAAATCGTCAAGTACCTAACTAATTTTAGAGTTTTAAAATTTTGATATATCCTGTTGCTATACCATTGCACTATTATTAAAAAATGTCAAAGATCTAAAAATACGTGCAAAATGCCAGAGCCAAGGTCGGCCTACGTTAGCTAGGCCTTTTCTTTTACTTTACCTTCTTTTTTTTTTTTAGACCCAAGGTAGGACCTGTGCCTAACCTAGGGCCTTTTTGATTCTACCGCCAAACGAAACACATCCCTTGTAATATATAATTTTAAACAAAACTTTTTTAAAAAATCACATAATTATTATTTTTATTTTATATATTTTATATATTTAAATTAATTTTTTTTATAAAAAGATCCAAGCCGTTGGATTCAAAATCCAAGACTTTGTTGAGAAAAAGACAAGCATGTTAGCACGTGCTTGTCACAGCCTGCCCGAGGGACACAGAGATGTCAGGCCGGTAAAAAATTGTGGTAAAATGAGGCCGAAACAATGTTGTTTTGGTCCATGGCTCCATGGGCCCCAAAAAAAAAAAAAAAAA